ATTTCAACACAAAGACATATCACTGAAACAAATGAAATATCACACACAAAACCACATAAATGTATTAATGACAGAAACTTACGTTGGATTACAGCATCAGTGAATACATTCATCCAAAAACAACAACTCTTGGTATTTTCTGAGGTAGATGACAGCCCAACTCTTTCTCCAGCTGTTATCTCACTTGCAGCCTCCCCTGAGGTTCATTATTCTTTCTCCCTCCTTCATCTGAAGCCATATGTCCTCCTGACCTTAGCAAATTTCCATCTCTGTGTATTCATGTGATCCCCTGTCTCTTCAGGTTCTCTCTCTCAGTCATTTCCCCAACTCTTCTTTTTTGTCTATTTCCCCTTGCCTTTCTTTTCTGATACAATCTAAATTCCAAAGGACTGAGTAACTACTGGGAATTTCTCCCAATATACTTGCTAGGTTCTATAGCCAGGTGGGCTCCTTTCTAATAATTGCTCAAAGATTTCAATGTTTTGCTTCTTCTCTATGGGCTCATACAGATATTTATAACTAAAATTGTCTAGAGTTTACAATAAGCCCCGTTATCTGCTGCCAATAGCAGGAGTAAAACAAAGAGGGAGCAAGACTTTCTAAGGGATGAAGATTAGGATCCAAGGTGTTCCTACTTGTTCTCTTAGCTCGGAATATATTAAATTTATCCTCAAGAGAACAACACTTAAGGCATGACAAGTGAATCTCCTCTAAATAAAACAACTTTATTATGTAGATAGCCAATATATAGTTTCATCTAGGAAGTTTATTGTTTCTTATTTATAGGATAAGATGGTTACATGCAAATATTTAGGCATCCCATTTCTGCACCTATCATATCCACTCTTTTCTTATTCAGAATTTCTAAACAATTGCACACATAGTAAGTATGCATTCAAATTTGCAGAAAAGTATTGTATTTAATTTTTTTTTACCATGAAGAAATTGTGTCAGATTCTGCTCACTTAACTGAAACATAATTTGACCAGGGCTGCCTCAACATTTGCATGCAACTGTAGTGCAGCAAAAGCTTCCTGAATCAAACAGCAATTCTCTGAAATGAACTTGAGGAAAACTAATGATGCTCTACTATTAAAATGGACAAAAAATGTGAGTATAACATCTAAGCTAAATTAGATTCTGGAATTCATCATTTTAGAATGCTGTCTTTAGATAATATTGGATATTTCTACCACCTTTGAAAGCCCTTCTGTCCATTCAGATTTACAAGACCCTGAACCTTGCCCCCAAAGTAATGGCTCTACTCATAACGTCAGCTGAGCAGCAGTTCAGTCACTGACTTGAAACCACATGAAGAGGTAAGCAAAGCAGAACTACAGGGCTAATTTATATCAATTTATGCCTTACCATTTTATCTACTTATATGCCACTCCAATCAAAACTGACTCTGAGCAGCCTGCATATTCTATTTACTCAAATATGGTTAAAAGGCAGAATATATTCTATATTTTTTCCAGGAGTTCAGGGCAATATACTCAGCACTCCTGCCTTTCATCTTTTTTCCTGAATAATCCTGAAAAATACACTGGGCTGAGCGATAATGAATAGCCCAGTGTCATTCAGTGAGCTTCCATGATTGATGATAGATGTTGAATACATGTCCTCTACATCAAAAACATACCCCACCAACAAGCCCAAGCCTGCCCTTGAAAGTAAGCAAGGAATCTTGGGACAGATCCAAATCAATGGTCTGCTGCTTTAGGGTTTTTCAGTACTTGTGGGAGACAAAGACCTTAGAAGGATAATATGGCTACAGAATGCTAAAACGTCACATTAGAACAAGTCATCCAAAGCTCAGAATTCTGCAATTCTGACTGGTCATCCTGTGTTTCTTTCTGAAAAATAGGAAATCTCCACCAATCTGGAGTCCCTAAGATGATTCCAGCTTTTGAATGTTGTATAGTTTCACTGGTTTATTTTATTGCATCCTGCTTTGGGATTACTTTTCACAGAACTAAGCAGTTGGAAGGCATAGTTTAGGTCAAAGAGACCAATCCTCTGCTCAATGGAGGAATTAAAATTAAAGCACCTCAGGCTGATGGCATTCTGGCCTGTACTTGAATGCATCCAGTGAAGGGAGTCTACCATTCCTCTGGATAATTGGTTCTATTGTCAAACTGTTCTTAATGTTAGGAAGGTTTTTTCCCCCCCAATATTTAAACAGAATCTACCTTCATGCATCTTCTGATGAAAAGCAGGCCAATGGTTTGTTTTTGTTTTTGTTTAAATAAACTTAATAAATAAATAATGGTTCCCTTTTGGACTTTTGTAATAATCAGGAAGTCCCTACCCCAACTTTTTAAAATGCTTACATGACTGACAAGCCCATTGTCTTTATACACATACACAAACACATACAAACATAATTGTATCTCTAAAATGCAAGCTCATTGAAGGTTCCTTGCTGTAGCTGGATATGAATACCAAATCCTTTTTGAAAAGGCCCTGAAACCTCCACAACCCATCATCTGCTCTGTGCTGGAATAATTACCTTTGTTATGAAACTAACTTCATGTACTACATTTTGACTCAATTCAACACATTTATAGGAGACCAAGAAATTTTAAAAACCCTTGCATTGAAGTACATTAAGATCCTGATCCTAAACAGTGTACATGCATTGCATGCTATTTCCCCTGGTTCACACTTATGACAGCACCATAATTTGCATCCTGCAATCAAAATAATGGTTTTGCATTTCCTGCATTTGCACAAAATGGTAAGCTATTACAAAGTGAGCAGCATGCTGCTGCACTCTGCTCTGAATACTATCCTGGCCTTTCTGGACTTTGAAGAAGCAGGACAGAAAGAGTATTGACAGTGTTGAACTTTGGTGTTGGAGAAGACTCTTGAGAATACCATGGACAGGCAAGAAAACAAATAAATGGATCATTGAACCAATCAACCCAGAGTTCTCACTCGAGACACAAATGACCAGGCTCAAATTATCCTACTTTGGACACGTTATCCAAAGAACTAGTTCTCTGGAGAAGGCTCTAAAGCTGGTAAAGGTGGAAGGAAAGAGAAGAAGAGGATGACCAGCAGCAAGGTGGATGGACTCAGTTACAGTGGCAATGAGTGGAAGATCTGAAAGACCAGGTTAGGGACAGATCATCATAGAGAAAATCTGTCTATGTGGTCACTAAGAATCGGTAACAACTTCATGGCACAAAATCAAGCAGTCAATCCTCCTTTTAGTGGACATAACTAACCAAGCCAGATAGCATCAACCAAAAACTCTGTTTTGTTATTCTTAACAAAATGCAGAATCAGAAAATATAAGTATGCCAAAAGTGTGTCCTAATGGTCTATCCAAACAAGGCTATCATGTCTTAAGCTATGCTTTATTGAATGAAACCATGCTTATTTAAATATATGGACCCTATGGGAGACAACAAACCAGTATCAGAAAACATAATCTGAGGGATGTTTGTATACTTCACTCTGTCTAAATTCAGGCCACTGACTGTTAGGACCATTGTTCTATCTCAAAAGTCTGTTGCATCATGGAAATCAACATAAAATTATGAACCTACAATTCTAAGCTTTGAACACATGGAAAAAAAGCAGATAATGACTCCTGCATCAAGACTCACCTGTTTTACATCTGGAAGCTCAAATTATGGTGTACAGTAGGTTCTCAATTTTGACTAGCAGAGATAAAAAATAAGAATGTTCCATGTTAGCTTGAATGCAGAGACTATTGATAGGAAGGGCAATTCCATAACTTGCTGCTCTCCTCAGACACAGACTAGTACTATACTACTCACAATCTGTCTATAGCTGGACCTCTCTTAGGTCAAGTCCTCACTCTTAGCTCTTCCTCCTCACTTTTTAGTCCTTTGCAACTGTTGCAAGCCAAGGAGCCATTTAAACAACAGGAGAAAATCAAGTCACACAGCCCTTAAGAAAACAAGCCTGGATGTTGTCGAGTGGAATGTTCTCAGACATACAAAAGTGAAAAGATAGCAGGTATATTGAATATTCTTTGCATGCACTTCAATCACTCTGCTTCTAGGTTCCCCTATTTTTTTATACTAATCATGGTGTTCCTTCATTCATGAGCTAGGATAGGAGTCTTCTTAGTGATACTGGGGCCTGTACTCCAACCTAACTAAACTAAACTAAACTAAACTAAACTAAACTAAACTAAACTAAACTAAACTAAACTAAACTAAAC